GTTCATTTTTAATTTCTTCATCTAGGTACTGAAGATTTGAACAAATTTCTTATGTACAGGATAATTTACAGGATATTTATTGGTATACAGGATAATTTACTGGTGCACTTATGGGACTTAAAAATAAACTTGAGGAAGAGTCTAAACTTAAAGTCTCTGCTTTGACACTATGCCCTGGGGTGGGAGCACTGCCGTAGCCCAAAAATTTGACTCTTAAATCAGGCCAAGAGCCAATGCCAACCCTCTACATGCAATAGAAATTAGAAATAGTCAGCCTAACACATATGCAGCTGTTCTTACTTGCCTCATCTCACCGCCACACCATCTAGAAACAAGCAATGCCTCAGCCCACTGCCCACAACTTCACAAGCTGATATTCCAAACAGATTATGCCCAATAGCTCCTACACTAATGATTTAAGCCCATAGTGCCCATACCATCACTTCTTACAAATGCTGTAACTTGTAAGCCACAGGATCCGCAGACCGCACCAGACTGCCGTAAATGGGAACGGCCCTGCACCGGACTGTCGCATCACCTTTAGGTATTAGGTATTACACCTTACCCACTTTGCAGGTGTAAGCCCAGCCCTGGCCAGTGGCCCCTGACCATCCTGATCGTTCACCAGCCGCGGACCAGCGATCCAGCATCTCCTTCCTCCACGCTTACCCCCTTCTCTCCACCATTCAGTTAGGTTGGTTAGGTAATAGGTACCGTTAGGTTAGGTTAGAATTCTTCCACAAGCTGGTACCGAAAGGAGAGGGAGCGTTCAAACGTATATTTTAATGGCTCATAGGCTATTTTATTTCATTAGTTTATATTCTAAACCAAAAATAGCATTTAAATGTCACCAGTATCAAAGTTGCCTTGCTAAATTCGTTAATTTGAAACCCCCAATGTATTATATATATTTTAATATATATTATATATAGCTATTTACAATATTCTTCCTCGGTCTGTACAAGAAGAGCGCTCCAGTTAGGCAGATCCGCTCCACCGCGCCACTAACGATGTAAGTGTAACATCGTCGATTGCTAGCTAGTTGATTACGTCGTACCTACCTAAATTGTCTTTAATGACGTTGAGTCGACGTCTAATGATTGCTGGGACTCAATTTTAATGAACAATGATTTGCAATGTCGTTCGAAAAATGCATTTTAACAGCGTCAAAATCAAAAGAACGGAAATAATTCTGCTATAATTTTCCCGTAAAAATTTCACGCTAACAATAGGTAGCTAATAGGGAGGCAATGATGATGTTAGGTATTCGCTGTGCTGTGTTCCTGCGTGAATTATTTTTATTACATCATTTACATGAACACTTGACACGTCGATAGTAAATTATTGTCTAACACTTTATGATTAAAAATATTTAGCTATTTTCTTGTTTCTAACAAATTTTGTTATCCACTAGGCACTAATACTAGTGGATATCAATACTAGTGGATCACTAATACTAGTGGATGTGCACTTCCACAATCCACGCTTTATAAATCGCAAACATGGAACCGGAAAGCTTAAAATATTGACGTCATTAAAAATTATAAAAAAATTCATCGATATTGTGGTACGAAGTGAGGTGCTATAGACATTTAATTAAATTGAATGTACATTTGAGAGAGTGAAAACTGTGAAATGAGAGCTCAATTTAAATTGAATTAATGCTCTTTCAATGCATTAATTGAAGTTACCGTGACCCTAAATGAAATCAGTTCAAATAATATACGTTTAAAAATTACTTTTTAAAGACAACACTTCCAAAGAATCCAGTATATCCAATCTTACAGATGTACAATGAATTTCTCATTTAATTTTCGAATATTAAAAAAATTTATTTTTCAATTTTTTTAATATATATATTTTTTTAATATATAATTTTTTTCAAAATTATTTATTTTATTAATTGATTCATGCATTGCCTCTGATTTCACACAAGTGTGCAAAATTTCAGATCCATTAGACAGGTAAAAGCATGGTTGAATGGGTAAAACCATGGGTAAAAGTGTGTCAAATATCAGTTATGAGATTTGTAGCTGACAAAATTATTTTTTCAAATTTTTTAATATTGAAAAAAAAAAATTTTTTACTTTTCAAAATAATTTATTTTGACATTTGATTCGTGCATTGTCTCCAACTTTTCACAAGTGTGCAAAATTTCAGATCGATAGGATAAGTAGAAGTGTATTAAATTTCGATTACAAGATTTGTAGCAGACAGACAGACAGACAGACAGACAAGAAGTGAAGTTAAAGAGAAGTGTTGTAAAAAAAATATAGTCACCCTTTCAGAAATAAAAACATTTTCAGATTTTTTTCAGACCCGTGTAATTAAAGTTAAACTTGTAAGAAAAGCAGACTGGGTTAGTGACGGATAAATGATCGTTATACGTGTACGTTTGTATGTGGCAAATAGTTGATTGATTTGCGAATAGTTAACGAATAATTGATCAATTGCGGCGAACAATTGATCGTTTGCAGGAGGCGAATAGTCGATCGTATATATAGGGCGAATAACTAATCATGTGCACCTGGCGAATAAGTGATCACTCGAGCGTGGCGAATAATTGATCGTATGTGTATGGCGAATAATTAATCGTATGCATGTGGCGAATAGGTGATCGCTCACACGTGGCGAATAGGTGATCGCTCACACGTGGCGAATAAGTTATCGTTGGTCTGTGGCGAATAATTAATCGTGTGCATGTGGCGAATAAATTATCGGTTGCATGTGGCCAATAAGTGATCGGTTGCATGTGGCGAACAAGTGATCGGTCGCATGTGGCGAATAAGTGATCGTTTTCTTGTGGCAAAAAAATGACCTGTGTGATTGATATAGCCTGCATGTGACTGATCGTTTGCATTTGGTGAATGTCGTTTATGTGAGGCTCCGCTAACCAGTCAATAACGACTGGTTACACTGGTACATCCCACAGTGGCGCAGTAACCTCCCATCTTTAAGCAAAAACTTCAAAAAGAGACAAGCGCAGTAGATTCAACACATAGGCAAAAGCTAGACCTTGGCCAATCCCACAATGGTGAATGCATTGTGGGATCGGCCACCATATTTGCATTGAATTCATCTTGCGATTCGGTGCCGCGACGTCACCCTTTCGAGCCTGATTAGAAGAAATTAGGATGGCTTGTGTGTGCCGTAACCCGCCACCCAGCAAATAACGAAATCGACACTCCGACACTTGCATACCGCAAATGATATCTGAGGGTTTGGCTGGGTGATAATTACAATTACAAAATGGCCATTTTAGGTTTAAACAATATCTCCACGGCGCACCATGCGGCATGCACGCAGGAGAAATCTCTCACGTGACTCCAGTAAAAAAGAAATAAATAGAATTGTTGATTCGTTTGCTTGTCAACGACTCTTCATCACGTAGGCTCTGTTTCTCTCTGCAGCAGTGACAGCGAGTGACGCCTATGATGGCTCTATTACTCAACGCCTAGACCTATCAGACCACCCCCACTGACTAATGGCATTATGGCACTGCTTAAAGCAAAAATCCGACCGAATCATTGCCGATTGCAACACAATGGCTGAGTGCGATGCGACCCACTAGGGTTGAAAGTGGTCCTAAAGCGAACAAGTCCGCGAGCAAAAAAGGTCTATAATACTAATTGTAGTATTATAAGCCCATTCCGTACTACTGACAGGCATGCAAGCTTTCTTTGAGCCTAGTCATAGAATTAGAAGCACTTCGTCCTGTATGTCCCTGCGAGGTGGCCTGAGCTACTTAGGCTGCAGAGCACGACTCTAAGGTATGAGTTTGAAGAGGTTAACTATTGTTTTCTATATTTGTTATTTGTGAAGGTTATATCGTGCTAATATAGTCAGATTATTTATTCATTTGTGTTAATTGTAAGTATTGTTGTCCGTCCTCTAGGGCACAACGGAGTCCTTCTCCTCTCGCGACTCCTCTCATTCCGTCGCTACTCTCATTATTGCTCTCAGATAACTGTTATGCGCCACTCTGCTTAATAGTTAGGATAATTAGACTTGTAAAGATCTTTTGTTTATTGAACCTTGAGATAACAATCTAACACTAATATTTACTACTAAATTTATAGGCTTCATCGCAAAAATTGAGTTTTATTTTCTTCAGTATATTCTTAACCCTCTACCGCCTGAAATACGAAGTCGTTTAACAATTTTTTTATTTCATTGTTTTCGTGTCATTTGCGATACAATAGCACCATATCTATACCCTTTTCCAAATTTCATTGCGTCATTAAAAAATATACAACCTGTCCCTCAGGAGGAACATTCGTCACCAGTCTTAACATACCGGATATACGTGTCACTCATAAAGAACATCAGGCACACAGCTAAAATATTAATGGTATATTCTGTTATCAAGATTGTTATAAAGTGAGGACAAATAAACAATAATGTAACGAAATAAATGTACTGAATTCACTGACTATAGATTATAGTCATTTTTATTTATGTTATTCTCTCTGACCATCACTGTCCTTGACGTCTCGGACAATTTTACGGCCGGACTCGCGGCCGGTCTCCTCAAATTCAGTCAACAAGGAATATACAGTGGGGGGAAATAAATATTCGTACACTTGAAAAATCGTATTTTAATGTATGTAAGTACACAAACTTAACAGGAAAAGTGATTTAAATTATGTATAGAGACGCATAGTATTCAAAAATACTATCAAAAGAAATTAAATCTCAATGCAACAAAAAACAATGCAACATGTTCACTTTTCGGGGTGAAAAAAGTATTCGTACAAAACGATAAATCCGCATTATTTTAATTTAATACTTGGTTGAATACCCTTTATTCAGCTCAACAGACACCAGTCTATTTCTATACGTCTCGACCAATAATTTGCAGATGCTGACTGGTATTTTATACCATTCTTCTTGGCACACCACCTTATAATTTAAATCACTTTTCCTGTTAAGTTTGTGTACTTACATACATTAAAATACGATTTTTCAAGTGTACGAATATTTATTTCCCCCCACTGTATCTCAAAGTAATGAAGGTAGCTCGATGAAACCTGGTACACGTATTCATTAGGACATAACGATGATGTTTAGCTTGTGAAATTTTTTTAAATAGCATCAATAAATTGAGCAACACACGGTCATGTGAGTAAAAAAAAAATGGGACCCGCCGCTGGGTCGTATCGCACGCAACTTGTTGAGCGAAAATACTTTCAATAAACAGTTCCAAAATTCACTCAAACGATTACCTATTATACTAATTCATGATAATTTTGAGCGAATTTCAACGTTCGGGTCTCATAGAAGTTCATTTTTCAATGCAAGTTCAAACCAATTGATAGATATCATTTTTATCTCGAATTTGGTCCACATTTGATACGTTCCCTAGTAATGTTAAGTGCGAACTAATAACATTCACATATTTATAACTTTTATTAAAGTAACTAAACTTGTGAAACTGAAACTATTGCACTGAGGCACCGGGTAACGATGATTTATTCCTAGGGCCAATTCCTATAACTAGCATTTCAGAAACATGATTTCCTAATGACAAATTAAATTAAATTCAGTCGTGTGATGTTGTAAATCAAATTCACATCTGAGTGGGCGGAACAATGTTCATGAGATAGAAGGCTGCATCCATGGTGTTCTTGATAGCCATCAACAAGTAGATTCTGGCATGCAGAACATCCACGAGGTGTTTGGGCACTACAGAGCCGGGCAAAATATGTACTCTGTTGTAGTAAACACTGAAGCAATGACTGAGATCATGCAGGAATTTGGCCACCAAGTGGCTCGGGAAGAAGCGCTTGTTGCTCGTCTCGTTGCCATGAGCAGAGCACCGTAGGACTGCAGTGCCCAGCTTGTGCACGAGGCATGGCCACTCATGCACATACAGCCACGTCAGGCCCCACTCCTCCTGTTGTTTCATTCACGTGTTTAGAACAAGTCCAAACATAGTCAACAAAATCCTGACACAATGCTGAACCTCCATTCATTTCAGTATACGGTGTTAACTCGAACTTTCGACGTTAATACATTTTGGTAGGAGTGTCAACTACTCAAACGGTTGACCTCCAAGACATATTGCTCTAAAGCGCAAACGCCGCTCAAAAACTAGGTTTGAAAGTGTTCTCACAAAACTGAATAACAGAATCCAACTAACGATGTGAATCAGAGCAACGTTTATCTGTGTGAATCACACATTCTGAATAACAGAATGAGTGAATCAGAGCAACGTTTGTTTATCAAAGCGTGTCGGTTAGATCGAATAACAAAGTTCTGAGTAAACATTTTGACAACACTAGGAATTGACTTCTGATTAAGTCTATTTCCAATGTGATCAACTTTCGGGGTTTCACATTCGCTGTAACCTAGTTTAAAATAACCAAATAAATCAGAGCTTATCAATGATCGTGGACAGAATAGATATATCATTTCTGATGGTTCTTGATTGTAATTAGATACAGAGATCAAAAATGCAGAATAAATGCATAGAACCACGGTTATTCATCAAAAAAATATAACTCAGTACTCACTGCAGTGAGTGACAGAGAGCGCATTTTGTCGTCGACGAAAACGTGAAGTCACGGACGGACAGACAGATGGACGGACGGACATGTCGAGCACAATAGCGCCATTTTTTCCATAAATGAGAAAATGCGCTAAAAATTATACATTTCTAGGATCCATCATGTAAAGACATTTTCAGTCAATTTACGAGTAAATTTGAAATTTTTACAAGGTGTAAAGACATAAATGATGAGTTTCCTTAGACAAATTTGAGCAGATCGAAAAAATCCGAACATGATACAGGTATAAAAAATATAACTCTGTACTCACTGCAGTGAGTGACAGAGAGCGCATTTTCTCGTCGACGAAAACGTGGTCACGGACGGACAGACAGACAGACGGACGGACATGGCAAGCACAATAGTGCATTTTTCCATAGAAAGAAAATGCGCTAAAAATGCAACAGTCAAATAAGGTACAATAAGAATGAAAGTTTCATAGCCGAACAGCTCCATATTACTGTGATTTTTAATCAATAATAAGCAAGCTACAATAATAATTGTCAAAAATTCTCGCTCGATCAGCACAATCCTTACATGTTAGAGAATAAAATATATTTATATTTAGATTTCTTAACGTTGCTGCTCATTCTGCCACCAGCTGAACCCAGGTAGTCATGAAATCTCATTGAATCGAATCAATGAATATACATGTCGAGAAATCTCTACTTATCTGCTGTGCGAATAGCATAGCCTATATAAATGGAGCAGGGTATAAACTAGACTAAACGATGGGCTCTATGGAGTGCAACGCACCGGCTGGGTGAGGGAGCCGTAGGAGACGTCTGCAGGAGGCGGGAGGGGAGGAACAGCGCCCGACGCCTGCAGAGCGGCGTGTGCTGAAAGCAGCGCGTGTACACGCGCATAGTTGTACAGTTGGAACGCCACGTCTGCGCGGGATAGAGGGCGGTTAGCAACATACGGTCATGTGAGTAAACTAGTCTTACAGCTGAAAAAATAAATTGTATGAGTGCAGGAGATAAAACATGTGCCAAAAAGTAGGGTAATAGGCAAGAAAGCACAGTATTTGAGGGATCAAGTGTAAAAGAATACGTTTTAATGCATATCATAGCACAGAAAAATATATTTTATGCAGTAACATATGATTTTTACAAGAAGTTTAATGATTGCGCAATGAAAACATTACGTAACAGAACTATAAAACAAATTTTTTGAGTAGCAGAGACCTCTGACACATGTGAAATAGGAAATGAATTGAGCACTTCCCTGGTTACGCTTGAGTTAAGTGAGTGAAAGTAGATAATTTTCTTATGCATCATAACTTCGAGGCAAAAACGAAACTATAACAACGAGTAGATGTAAATAACCAGGTTGACGTTCCAAGGGAAACGTGTACATATTCTTCATAAGGAAATACATGAAAATAAATCGTTACGAGCCAGCGTAATAATGTTATCATTTGTCTAAAATGTTCAAACGAGATTTGTGGCGATTTTGCAGAAGTCGTCAAGAGTTTGCCCTATACAAAGAATGAATAACAAGTAGTCTGTGCGAGAACTGTCCGTGCATTCAATCTGGAACGCACACGGTCTAGAGGGACAGGTTAGGGACATATAAAGGAGGACAGGTTATAAACCATTAGTTAATTTCCACCGTTTAGATCATCAAATGATTTATGCCATTGGCAATTATACAATTGCCAATACAATTGAACAACAGAGCAATGGTGCGTCAGGATGAGGTCAAAATAACAAAACAAGGAAGATGAGGTTAGAAGAACAAGACGATCATGAAGACAGTTCTCTGACCCCTGACGTTGGAGGCGGGAGCGACGGTGCGGAGCTGCAGAGGGGAGCTAGGGGCAGGAGTGAGCAACAGCAGACGCAGACACGACGCTGCCTGCTGATGAAGCAGCTCCGGCCATCCCGCGCCATCCAGGGGCTGCTTGTGAGCGCTGGCTGCCTCTAGCTCTGCGTATATGAGCCTGTGTCCAAATAAACGGTTGTGCATCTGAATATTTAGCTAGCCTCTTTGTTTTTCTCCTTGCGCTACTGTGAGTTATTTGGACCACGTAAAATCACTGGCAAATGGCAGGATCAATTAAATGAACACGACTCACGGGTCTGTACATTTGTCAGTTCATTAAGAGACGAGACTGCATACATGTCAGTTCATAGGATAAGGCCAAAATAAGCAGCTGGTCCAATTAAACGGTGAACAAAATTTTCCCAAATTCCAAAGTTATTCGTCACTGAAGCAAGGATGTTCCACCTAACCTCAGAGTTGAAATATTTTTGATCGATACAACAACATTTTGCCAGGTAAATTTTCTTGAATAAATATACCTACACAATTCATATGGACAATCGAAACTTCTTCACCTTCATCATAGGTCCTGAAATACTAGAGGCGCTTCAAGAAAATAACAAACCAGTCATTAAACACAAGTTCTTACTCGTGGCATCTCCTGGCATCCCAATGCCTGAGCTTCTTCTTGTGCAGTGCGTCGACCACGGGGCCTACGAGCACCGCGGGTGGCGAGTGGCAGCTCACGCCGCTGCCCTGCACCACGGCGATTAACTGCGCTGCATGGCACTCGCCTGCTGCTGCCTTGTTGTGCACCTGACCCTCACTGTCCTCCTGATAGGAATTCCGCGTCAGTGTTAGAAATTGAAATACCTAGTACCATATTCTTGGTTATGCCATACACATATTTCATGGAATATTACAAATATTTCTTACAACTACATCACGATGTATGATAAAGTTATTTACAATGCCTGAAAAATTAAGTGAAAAATATTTTAAAGGAAAGGACATTCAAAATATTCAAGGCAACAATCAAAAGACACCATTGGATGAAATATATTACAGTATGGGCTCTTAATTATTTCGAGTTAAACATGTATATACTGGAGATTATAGCAATAGCAAAATGGAATAAGTGAGGTCATACCACTAATTTTGTTTTTGCACTTGATTAATCAATATATCAATAAATATAAACTAAACATTCTACTGCCGAGTATGTATGTGCAATCAGCATTTAGTTTATGCTTGCAATGAACAAAGAACTAAAGTTTCAATTCAATAGTTAATAAAGAGGTCAAAATTAAATACTTGCACAATGGAATGTTAGAAACAGAATAGGTATGAATTCATCTCAACACCACTAACATTTTCATTGCAGTTCTGACACAAACTTGGACATAGTCTCGTGTGGCAGCGTTGGATTTGACCTCCACACAAGCAGACAATGGCCGATACAAGATCAGCAACCACACTGGCACGGTAGCTGGAAATGTCTTCACTCACAGCCGTTTCATTATCACTCCTTGAGTCAGCAGTACATGATGCTGAAATTGTGAGCACAGATACCGTCTGAAATTATTTTTGAGATATTTGTAGATTCTCAACATGATATATTAGTTTAGCACTTATTTTAATGGGATCTACAGTAGCATGAAGGCTTTTCAACAAGTTGGACAGCCAAAAGATCTTAGTAATCTCAGGATGGTGAAATACACAAACAAACATCTTCTTTTGCATGGTACTAGTGTGTATTCAGGTCAAAAGGTAATAAACTTTCATAGATTTGAAATCCATAATACAGTATTTAAAAATCATAACAAAGTAAATTCAAAGCCAAATTTCAAATTTATGCACAAGAAAATACCAAATTTAGATTTAAAGAAGATGATAGAAAGGATTGCAAAAATCCCATAACAGGGAACAGAAATTTCCAAGTGAAAATTGGAAATATTTCTGCTTTAACTATAATAACACAAATCTTAATACCCAAATTCTGAGATTACAAATACATTAATGAAAGTATCAAAAGCATGATCAGTTCTACAAATGCTTGCTTTAATCGTTCTTGCAAATGTTTTCATATGAACAAAAATAAAAAAAATTTGAAAAGTAGGGGTAAAATACACCAAAAATGTAATAAAAATGAATACCTAGTAAGTATTTACAATATCATATATAATTGGTAGAAAATAATGTTCAGTATTAATCGTCAATAATGTGATACTCATCAAATACAATTGAATTATTTTTTTACTTCTATCATGTCTTGATTTATTTCAACTAAGGCAGATTCTTGATAAAAGCTCAATACAAACTTCAAGTTAGAACTGTAATAATAAATATATTCAATAACTACAACAAAAATCCAAATTTTGATGCGAAGCTAAGCAATTTAAAAAAAACACTGTTCACACTGACCTGATTAGTTAATATGTTCTGTGCGCCATATAGAAGAGAAACGTCTAAGCCACTAGCAAGAAAAGATTCATATTGGGCAGCCTTGCTCTGGAGTGTTTCTTGTGCAGACACAGCGCCAAGTATCACATTTCTCATGACAGTTGGCTGACTCAGCCATAACATCAAAATGCCTTTTTCCAGTAATGCTCGTCGCTCTACAGGATAGTTGGTGCCTTGCAGATGCAACTGGATATTTGCCAATACCTGTAGACAAATACATAATGGTCAAATAATCTTAGAGATGGAGACTTGAAAGGCTCCATGTTTGACCTCTCCCAACACTTGGTTATTCAAAACTAAAGTAGAAGAAATACCTAATGTTGGTTCAATTAAGTAATTGCACTTGTATAACACTAGTATTTATTTTTACAATTAGTAGGAATAAGTATGAACAATTGAGGGTGAGAGTGATTTTTTCTAAGAGCATTTTAATCAAGGTTGAATTCTAATTTTTTGCTTGAAAAAATATAAAATTTTCTATGAACTATAATCAATGTGTTCTTAGCCAGACTCTTTATGAGAGCCAGCTAAAATTTCATCCCCATTGAGATTAAAATATAATGAAACCACCATAGATAAATTTGCTCAATTTTTAATTTTGAAGGCAACAACATGAGTTCATTGTTATAAGTAATGGTACAGTATACTTACCACTGATGTTGGATGCACCAGGTCTTTATTTACAAGCTCAAGTAGCTCAGGCTTGTTGCTACTGGAAATATATTCATTGATGAGCTGCTGCAAGTTAATTCTCAGATGACCACATTCATGAAACCTCTGTGTCACTGTAGGAATTACATATATTTAAAATAATTGAAAAAACTGGCCCGCAGAGTACACTTGGTATTAAATTGATAGTTGATACCTTAAAAATTAGACGATACAAATAGTATACAAATTAGATGATAAATTTCTTATAAAAAAGTTTCAAAGTCTCCTTGAAGATCCAAAAATAGAATGTTCATGGTATATAAGTGAAGAGACAACTAAAATGTAAGAATACAGAAAAAAACTTTTACATACCAATTTTGATGTGTGAGGTAGAACCAAAGCAGTTGATTGCAGTGAACTGCATTGCATTTTCACTCCAGTAATCTCTACACGAGATTATCACAGCTCTGAGAACAGCTTCTTTACAATCCATTTTGATTTAACCACAAAACTGTACAATGCTCAATTGCAATGCATGCAAAAAAAAAAGCTTACTCACTTTAATTTTATAATAACCTTTTTGTGAGCAGACATAGAAATACCAAAACTAGCATTAGAAAAATAATTCTGCATTTTTTGAAATGAAGGTACAAATGGCACTCGAGGTTAACATACAAGGTCAAAATACCTAATATTTTTTCTCATTAGTTTATTCAATATATCAAGCAATATTTTTTGTTTGCACTGGTAAATGAAAAATCAGAAAACTGGTGGACATTTATAACTCATTAAAAATATTCCAAATGTATAAATCATTCATCATCAAGTTACAAGATGCATTGAGTGATGAAATTTGGATCATATGTTGATCCAAAATTCATCACTCAATGTGTCTTGTATTGTATTCTCACATTCTCTCTTGAATGTATTCTCATGTGAAAGATTGTTTTCTATCTGATGCATAAGAGAACTCACTAGGTACGTGTTAGTACATGAGTACATGAAAAAAGTATGTGTAACTGATGTCAAAATAATTCCTTGCATAATTTTTTCTGTGCAAACCAGATAACCAACATTGACCCTAATCATTTAGAATCAACAACATCTTTTAATACTGATTTATACAATACTTTCAATACCATTAACAAACACACAACAATCCAATTTACCCACAACAAATTACATACACTATATGAATACATGCCTGTGCACTTCTCTCTCAACACTCATCACTCATAACCTATGCTCACTTCCATCTATATACTCCACAAATAAAATAACGCATTTAACAAACACCCACCATGTAATCTCAAAACACATTTACATTACTCTCCTTGTTAATCATAAAACTCACACAACAATACCTTACATAACTTGATGTGACTTATTACTATATCATAACATTTAATAACATAATATCCTAATGTATAATACATATCATAATACAACACAACATAATCCAGCATAACCTTAGGTCACATAACCCAGCCTTACCTGACTTGACCTAACCTAACTTAACCTGATCCAACCCAACCTAACTTTACCTAACATAACCTGAATTAATCTAAGCTACCCTAAAATATCCTAACCAAACTTAACTTACTCTTACATATTCTAACCGTGCTTAGCCTAACCTAACCTGATCTAACCTAACATAACTTAACCTAACATAACTTAACCTAACCAAACCTTATCTAACCTAACCTGATCAAACCTAACCTAATGTTACTTATCTTAACCTACCCTAACCAAACCCAACCTAGCATAATCTAATGAGCAATGGTTCCCAAACTTTTTCAGGCTGGTGCCCCCTTTGGCTCCCTTGTGAATTTCTAGCGCCCCCCACAGACATTCGCCTCTTTCTTGAAATTTAGTACTCTGCAATTTAGAAGGTAAAGGTTAAACACAAATGTGTATTTCACAAATAGAACCCCAATTAGTGAACCAATATGTTTTTCAGCTGTTTTAAGTGTTTCAGCACTAGAAACCTAGGACATCTCTGTCAAATTTACGGCCCGGACTCATGGCCGTTCTCACTACCAATCTCCAAATTCAATTATCGAGTAATATCTCCCAAACTAATGAACGCAGCTCAATGAAACTTGGAACATGTACTCATCAGAACCTAACGGTGATGTTTAGCATGTGAATTTTTTTTTAAATTTCACCTTCATTCGTGAGTTATATTGCGATACAGGCCGAAATTTGCAGTGATCAAAGAATTTCTTCCAAACTACTGAACAGATTTGAACGAAATTTTGTATATACATTCCTAACTACCACACGGTGATTTTTAAGATTTAAAAAAATTTTTATTTTACCTTCGTTTGCGAGTATTTTTTTTTCATTTCACTGTCATTCTTGATTTCCCACTTCCTTATATTCGGCCCGTATTGCCGGGTAATTTGTCACTTAAATTCGATGTGATAAAAAAATTTCGTCTAAACTACTGAACAGATTTCAACAAAACTTTTTATATAAATACCTAACCTCCCAACGGTGATGTTTAGCTTGTCACTATTTTTCTATTTTGCTTTCGTTCGCAAATACAGATATAAGAGAAACTACCGGCTTTTCTACCGGCCATTTTAACCAAAAGCCATTTACTTATAGCCATATAACTCACAAACAAAGGCAAAATTGACAAAAAATGTAATGAGCTAAACATCACCGTGCCTGAGGTTGGGTACCTATTTAAATACAAAGTTTTGATCAATCTGTTCAGTAGTTTGGAAGAAATTTCTTGATTACTGCGAATTTAAACACGTATTGCTGTTTAAATCACAAATGAAGGTGAAATGAAGAAAAAACTCACAAACAAGGCGCAATCGAAAGAATTTTTGCGAGCCAATTATTACCGTTTGGTCCTAATGAATACTTGTACCAAGTTTCATCGAGTTAAGTTTAGTTAGTTAGTCGAGTTAGTTTGAGATATATTCCTTGATCATTGAATTTGGAAATTAACCTTGAGACTGGCCGCGAGTCCGGCCGTTAATTTGTCTGAGACGTAAACCCAGGAGAGGTTAAAAAACAGATCTGGGTGAAAAAAACTATCGCTGGGAGTCATGTGCTGCACGTGTTGTGTACAAATCGTCAAATAAACGTTCAAACTTCTGACATTGACTTCGGACTACCGCCCCCCATATCGCCCCGGACTACCGCCCCCCATATCGCCCCCCTAACACCATTTTCTTCCTTACCGCCCCCCAAAATCTTTCCATCGCCCCTAGGGGGGCGATATCGCCCACTTTGGGAACCACTGTATTAAAGCATCTCAAAATCACTAGAAGAGACGAAAAACTGGTTAAAAATATCTGGTGACAGTTTAAACTTGTATTTTAGTTAGTAAAGTTCTTTGCAATAATCAATCACAAAAATATATCCATATCCAATCTGAAGTCACCGTTGTACCTCTCACCAGCACAATTCTCACTGGTAATTTGAGAAAGCAATAACAGGCATACTATGGCCTTGGCATCCTGAAATCCAACACAGCCTATTCTGTTGCAAAGTCAATATCTTGCATCCTATTATGCGTCAAATGTAGCTCAGAATCACAATTTCATTTTTACAGACATGTAAACTTCCGATACCTTTATACATTAAAAATTTTTGCCACCATTCATTCAAAAATGCACAACCTAATCACTATTATATATGGATTAAATAGTTATTTATTTGCAGTCAGATCAACATCTAATACACCCCATGCCACCCGGCGTGGGGTGGCAATTTGCAGTTATTTATTTGCAGTCAAACGATTCAGATCAATATCTATATACACCCCACGCCACCCGGCCCCTTCCGAGAACAATAGATATTATAAGGGGGCACTGTGAGAAAGCCAAGGGGCCAGGCAACTGCCCTCTGGCCACTTGCCTGGCCTAAGGAGTTTAAAAGAGGGCATATGAATATGGCCGACATGCATGCAATGCTTGAAACCTGCGGCTTTTGTCTTGATCAGAAAATGACTGTGTACCCCATTTCACCCATCTCCAAGTAGAGGTTCAATTCTATAGGAGCTTGAACTTTGATTTTGAATGAGACTTAAATTTTGAGCAGTTTTTTCAGGTTTTTCCATTTTTGAAAAAAGTCCATGTGATGGTAAAATTTTTAAAACAGCATCTTATATAACACACCCGGAGAAGCTCTTTTGACTTTATAAATATTCATGTGAGATGCGTGGAACATGTATTATTTGCGGTTATACCAATCATGGACTCTAATTTTCAACAGCCCTTGAACTCTGCACGAATTTTTGTTTTTTCTATTGATAGAAAAAAGTCCAAATGATGGCTAAACTTTCTCTCGAGACATCTTATAGAATACATCTGAGGGAACATTTTTGCCTAAATAAAGATTTTTCCAAATTGCCTAGAAATGTATTTTATTTTTCGCAGTTTTGTTATTTTATGTTTTTCTCAATTTTTGAGAACAGTTCATTTGAACACAACTTTTTTCTAACAGCATTCTAGAGAGCACATTCATGGAGTCATTTTCAATCATATATAGATTTTTGTAGGTAGCCTGGAAGATGTATTTTTTTGCAGTTGTGTCAATCAGAGACTTGATTTTCAACGGCACTTGAACTTAGCAGAAATTTTCAGTCATTTCTATTTCTTAAAAAAAAAGTCCAAATGATGGCTAAATTTTGTCTCAATAAATCTTATAGAAAACAGCTGGCAGAACTTTTTTGACTACCGTCAACTGGGGCTACTCGGGACGGTTTTGAGCGTTTTTTGTTAATAACTTCTTACGATGAAACATTTCATAAACAAGTTTAGGCTCATTTTATAGCTCTTTGCGAGGGCTATCGAATGGCATCTATCTTCAAAAAAATTCCATATGCTATTCGTAAGGTGCCAGAAGCAAAAAAAGAGTGTCCCGAGTAGCCCCGTCGAACGGGGCTACTCCGGACACTGGGAATAAAACTTCATTTTAAAATATTTGAAGCATGCAGAGCATACTCATCCATTACTAACAGTACTCTGAAGTCCTCCTCTTTCATTGTAGACAATGTAGAGGTAGAATAAATGACATTTTCTGTGACTTTTACTAGTTTTTCCTTCATTGATATGATATTACCATAAACATTAATTACCTTCAACTGGGGTGACTTCAGCTGTGTTTTTGATTCATGCTGGGGTCATAAACGCAGGGTCATAAACGCCGGGGTCATAAACGCCGGGGTCATAAACGCCAGGGTCATAAATGCCAGGGTTGTAAACCAGGTCATAAACGCCTGAGTGACTTTGGCCACTGTTTATGACCGTTTATTACCCCACTTTGGCCATCATTATGAATAGGGCCGAATCACCCAGTTGACAGTACTGTATTATTGATGGGATATTACTGTATTATTGATGTGATATTATGGTATCCATGAACATGCCATTGAGCATTTACAACAACCTTGTCCACTGCAAGCTTCATATCAGCAGCATCATAGCATTTTTTCTGTATCTGTAAGCTTACAGGACGGCTTGTAATTTGTGAGACCATAAGTGAACTTTTTTTTTCGCTCAGTGAGGTAAATGTAATCAATATTCTTTGTTTTTAATCAATTTTTTTCTTAACTGGAGCCTTTGCTAACTGAGGTTCTACTGTAAATGTGCTTTCCGGGGTGTCCCGAATAGCCCTGGGGGGGTGTCCCGAGTAGCCCCGCCGTGCGGAAATGGCCACCATTTTTTTTTGTAACGAGATAGGCATAATCTGTCAATTACGTTTTCAAGCCGA